AAGGGAAAAAGTAAGACATTAGCACATCAATGGTGTGCCTGTGACCTCCATCAAGGGATTCGAACCAACTTAATGAAATTTTAATTAGGCAGCAAGCAGTGTGCTGTCGCTGTTGCTGGGTACCAGATCAGACCTTCTTACCAGCACTCTGTTATTATCCTTCCTTGGGATAAGCCCTTTCCAGTGCTGGCAGCAAAGCTGGGCTCATTGTCTTTTGCTGGGGATCACCCCACAGGTCACAAAATTCTCCCATCTGGCTTTTCCCTACAAAGCCAGTGGAGAGGAGCCCAACGGGAGTGGGATTTGCAGTCTCAGGAGGATGGAGGGAATGTCCCACCATCAAAATGTCCCTGTCATGTCCTTGCCACCCTGTGCCAGACTCTGAGCCCCACAAAGGGGAAATGCAAGGCCTTTCCCAAGAAGCAGGGTTCAGGACTCACTGTTTGTTAAGCATGTTTGTGGGCAGGTGACCCAGCATGAACTGGTCATCACTGTCATGAGCGGACACAGCTAAGCCCTGGCTGCTGCCCAGCCCCTGGCCCTGCAGCTCAAGCAGCAACACTGTGGCTGATACCCTCCTCCCCACACCTTTGTTTAAGCAAAGCAGCTTCCATCTCCCCTTGAGAACAGAGTTGATAGAATTAATGCTGAGAGCAGTCTGTATTTTCAATCAACTTGATCTTCTATGGCCCACCCATAAGCTGGTCCTGCATCAGCACCCGTTTCAGCCCAGCTTAATGGTGACCAGTTCAGTGGTCAGCGAGTCCTGATCATGGTTTGCTGTGCGGTCACTGAAGCATGGGACAGAGCCCAGGAATGAAGAGGTTTCCCCAGCACCAGGTATTTTCTGTTCTGTTAATGTAGGTCAAAAACCTCTGGGTGGCTAGCGAAGGGAGCTAGTCTACTGCAAGGTAATATGCCTAAAGAAGATGGTGATTTCAAGGAACTGCTGAGCACTTACACCTCTTGCAAAGGCTGTATAAGTGCAACTAAAAATCAAACTCTCTGGTATACAGAGTAAGCTGTGAAGGATCTGCTCTCTTGAGAAGTTCTTAGGATGAGGAGCTAAAAGTTGATTTCCTGATAATCCTAAATTAACATGCTGGCCTGATACACGGCCCCCAGAGATAGAGCAGACTGCCCAAGAGCCAGTCTCACACATGGCTCCCTGCTTAAGTGACATTGCACTCACAAAATACTCAGCTCTCCCTTGTGCCAGAGCCTATGCTAGAAATTATGGATTTTCCAAATATCTTCCCATCTCCAGGAGCACCCCGTGTGCTTTTCACTGGCAACAAGGCTGCTGCATAGCTCCACAAACCTGTCCCCACTGGGCAAACCTCAGATTATGTCAGGAACCCAGCACTGAACTGACACGGTGAGAAGCCATCAATGGAAGTTTATGAAACCTTTCAGCAGGGTAAGCAGGTTTACTGTCCACTTTCATTAAGCTTTGCTCAATGTTGTCAAATCCTGCTATGGACAAAAACCCAGGAAAGACCCACTCAGGGAACTCCTGGAGCCATGCAAAGCCTTCCCCCATGTCCTGAATGGATTATTTTGTGCTCTGCTCCAGCAGGGCATTGCTGGCTTCATAGGCAAACGGTCCATGTGGTTTTATCCTGAACATCATGGGCGGATCAGCTTCTTTGTTATTTTAGATTATATGCTTGGCAAAGCCTGAAAATAATTGGAGACTATCTGGAAAAATAAAAATAGAAATTTGAAATGAAGCAGCACTAGCTTCCGAAGTGCAGCACTGAGACAGGAACCCATGAGCCAAATGCTCCCACTGAAAGCAAAAATAAATTAGCTCAGGATAAAGCACTATTTTGCACGCACACAGCGATCTAGCACCAAAAATAGAGAAGTAGCGAGATGCAGTGAAGCATCTCAGAGTTCAAAAGCTCACCTGTTTTACCCAGCTCTATCAGTTGGCCTCCCAAGAGCCATCTCTTCTCCTTGCAGCGCCTGCACCCCTCAGAATGCCCCCCTCCAGCCCTCTCAGCTCCAAGTCCTCCCACAATGGATCCTCCTTTCCCATTAATTGTCAGTGTAAGAGCTTTGTTAATAAATTGGCTGTGGCCTCTGCGCAATATCACCACCACCATCCTCTCTTCTCACCTGGCTCCAGCCAGACCCTCTCCAGTTTTCCTCTGCTCCTTGCAAGGTCTCAGCCCGGCTACAACATCTCCAGATGTCAGGGATATCTTATTGTATTCCACTCCATCAAATAACCATCATGATGCTGAGCACGGTGCAAAGCCTCAGCAGCCTGAGCACTGGCAGGGTTAAATTAAAGGTACCCATGATATTAGAGAGCTGCAAAGTAATTATGAAAGGAAGCAGAAAAAAGCCAGCAACTCTAAGCAGACATGAAGGCCCTCTTAAGAGAAGAAAGGCATGTTAATTAACCTCTAGACATGACTCAGAGCATCATTTGTAGCATGATTAACATAATCCCCCAAGTGCAAACACACAATTGGCATTAATGATCATTTGCAGGACTGAATGCTCCCCCACTCCTTCAGCGCATTTGAACAGGGAAACACTGAAAACACGGTAAACAGGCACGTTTGCAGGAAACAAAAAGAACGGGGTTCCCTGGGAATCGACATCCTGTCTGCTGGCTGCTCCTACCCCTTCCCTGTGTGCTGCAGGTGGACATCTTCCCCAGGTATGCTGTCAGCATACCCCCAGATGTGCTACCAGTTTCAAGCCTGAAGAGCTCCTGAGCTCATGTCGGCTTTTGCTTCCTTTGCCCTCCTCCAACCACAGCTTCATTCCCTTCTCACTAGCATCCGCTTCTCTAGCAAAAAGCTGGTGGCTGTTTCTGAAAGCTCCTAGATTCCTGTTCACATTAGGCTCTTGGCTTTCACTTAAAGAAGGAGCTACCCCCAAGATTGCTTGAAAGACTGGAAATGTCACAAGTTCTGTAAGCGAGAAAAAAGAGCCACAATTTCCCCATCTCTCCAAAAAGGACTATCTCTTGCTTGAACTTGTGGACAGGGCTCACAGCACTCAGCTCCGCCTGCCCAGAGCACTGAGGTGTGCAGGTTCTGAGGGCTGCTCATGCAGGAAAGCAAAAGCTGCTGCCTGCCTTAGTAAAGCTGTCAGGGCTGTTTTATTATATCCCAGCCCATCAAATAACCATCACAAGAGGTCTTCTCATCCTCATCATGGCAGAAAGCTGGTCAGGGAGTGCTTTCTCCTGAAGGAGACTGCGCTGTTTGGTGTTCATTAATTATTTAGGTGGCATTAATAAAGGTGATGAGGATGTGTCACCAAAATCCCCTGTAAACTCCAGCTGGCACCATAATATTCATCCCCACAACAGCCCAAGCTCGGGAGCTCAGAGGCTCTGCTTTACACTGTTCTGGATCTGAAGTGTTTTCAGAGGCTATTAGCTGGCTGAGGCTGTGTGTAGCTGAAGCTTGTTCAAATGAGTCACTGCTGAGCTTCATTCTTATCTTTAAAGTTTGTTACTACTCGGAAGTGTTTAGCTGCATTACATTTGCAAAAACATCTGAACAAAGGCCAGCTTACAGAAACGACAGCACTTGTGCACGTTTTTATATAAACAGGAAGGATTGTGTGCAGCCAGTTCTTTGCAATTCACAATATTTGTCTTTAATGACAATTTTAAGGACCATAACGGGATGTAAGCAATCACATGCAGACGTGGTGTCCTGAGTCCTGAGAAGAGATAACAGCGCAGCTCCACGGCAGGCAGAGAAATTCAACTCCTGACTCCTGACGCCACTGTGCCAGGCACAGTGACGACCTCCCGGGGACTTAGCCCTTGCTTGGGGGTTTCTGCAACGTAGCAACCCAGATAAAGTCAAGCTCATGTCTTTTGTGCAGTGACAGTGAAATCACACTCACACAACCTCAGGGTAAGAAGCCAAGACTAAAAGGAAAGGAGATGGGAAGAGGAAAGGCAGGGGCACATGGGCTGTGGGATGCTGGGCTGGACTTTGTGTGGTCCCTGTGCACACCCAGCGGGGACAGGCAGCTCTTTGTCACGTCAGGACACCACAGCAACCCCAGGCTCCACAGGGCCAGGGAGGCCTTGGCCTCCTCCCTCCCCAAACCTCTAAAGGGCATGACCCAGGCAGGGCAGGGGAACAGCCAGAATGCCCCATGTCCAGGCTCCATTTCTGGATCCACATGTCCCAGAGGCAGCAGTTTCAGCCACATCCTCACTCCTTCCTGCCACCCAGCCACCGAATGATGCTCGCTGCCACACCTGGGAGCATCAAACCTCTCCTGCTTTCCTCCTGACTCCCTCCTGAACATACACTCAGGTCATAGGGACTTGAGGCCCCAGCAGGGCAGGATGGCTGGGTCAGACCTGCAGGGTCATGGCTGGAGGTGGACCACAGCCACACTTGGGCTGCACTGGTCACCACATCAGTGCAAATGTGCCCGGGAGGTTTCCATGCAGCACCCCAAGCATGGCCAAGCATCCTGAAGAGAGATGTGGCCTCACAGGGACCACAAGATAGCCGAGGCATGCTGAGGGGATGCTCAGGGGATCTGGAAGGGATGCAGGGGATGAAAGGGATGCTTGGAGGCAGAATGAGTGATGAAAGGGATGCTCAGGGGCAGCATGAGGGATGCATAGGATGCTCAAGATGGTCAGGGCAGCTCAGGGATGCTGGAGCAGGTCTGAGGGACAGAATGAGGGGATGCTGGGGAGCCTACCTAGAACAGCAGATGCTGAGGTGATGACAGGGAGACTTCGGGAAGTGCGGACAGAGAGACTGGAGAGCCTGGGGCAGGTCAGGGAAGATGCGGGAAGGATGACAGAGAGATGGGGTGCCAGAGAGCCCGGAGCAGATCGGAGGGACTACCAGGAGGTGATGGAGTGACAGCAGGGAGCCCAAGGCAGGCAGGGGGGATGCCGGGGAGGTGATGAGGTGAGGGGCAACGGGAGGGAGGGTGGGAGATGTCGAGAGGACGCCGGGAAGGGGCCGCCGCGGTGCGGAGGCGCTCACCTGCCAGGAGCCCGAGGGGATGTCTCCGAAGCCGCCGGGGCCGGTAGAGCCGTGACAGCTGCGGGGCGGCCCGGTGCAGCGCCAGAGCAAGCCAAAGCCGGCGGCGGCGCGGCCGGGCGGCAGGAGCCAGGCCGGGGAGAGGAAGGCGGCGGCGCAGGCAGCCAGGAGGCCGGCGGAGAGCAGCGCCCAGAAGCAGCCGACGCCGCTGCACATGGTGCGCCGGCGGGGCAGGGAGCCCGCGCCCCGCGCCGTGCCCGCCACCGGCACCGACAGCATCGGCGCCGCCGCAGCGCGGCCGCGCAGCCGCCGCGGCGCGGGGCGGCCGGCGGGGCCGGGCGCGGGGCCGGCAGAGCTGCCCGCGCCCCCTGCGCGCTGCCTGCGCGCCGCCTCCGTTCCCCTCCCCGCGGGGCGCGGCTGAGGCCGGGCTCGGTTGCGACACCCGCGGCGGGCGGGGACGGTGGAGGGGGAGCCCCGGGAGCGGGGCCCCCCTCACCTGCGCACACGATTTGGGGGCTTTTCCGCTGTTTTCCCACCTGCGGAACGGCCCCTAAAGAGGGTACCGTTAATGTTTCTAACTCCCACCCCGCTGCTCGCGGATGCGACGCTGCGGCCCCGCGGCCAAAGCTTCCCCGGACAGGGACACGCGTGGGGGGTTCGGGGTTGTGGGAATTTCTCGGGTGTCACCGTGGCGAGGTTAGGAAGGCGCACACGGCCCGAGGAGATGAGCCTTGACCCCGGCCCCTCGCTGCGAGTTTTCTCACTCAGGGTCTGCTTCTTGAGCACCATTAATTCCGTCCTTTAATCCCCCAGGTTTTAAAGCGTTAAAGGCAGAGCGGAGAGCGAGGCGGAACGGCTGCCCGGGGGTTTGGACTTACTTTAGGTATCAAAGCTGCGCCTCCCAGTGCAGCTGCATTTTTATAACAGTCATTTTGAAACTTCACGTATCTGCCAGGTTTTATTCCCGCTAAACCTCCCGGTCGCTTTGCAGCATCAATTGGTATCTCGTGCTTCTGCCTCGGGGATTTCTCCATCTCCAGAAGCTCTGCTGTCTCCCCAAGACCCCTCTCCACCAAAGCCGGATCCTTTTCTAAATATATCAAAAAATAGATTTATCTTTCCCTGCTGTCCTCAGGAGGGTTGCAGGCACTTACTGCCGATACCGCTGGAACAGTTAAAGGTATTTCGGCAGCTTTTGGTCAAAAACAACAGTTTTCCCTTCGGATCTGGGGTGGGGGTGTGTGTGGGGGGGGTGTTTTAATTGCAGCCCTCGGGGAAGGCTGGCTCGGAGTCGGCCTTTCCCGGGAACACGGCAGAGCTGGGGGGCTGGCACCCCCTCCTGGTGTGCGCCCAGACTGCGGGCGGGTAGGGGCTGCGGTGGGAATAACCACCGCTTACATCTGAATTCACGGACAAAACGTCGGGGTTAAAATGCTGCCGTTAAATGTCTGGGGCTTAACTGGAGCTTCTGTGTGTCTTTTCCTTGCATTTAAAAGTGTGCGCGCTTGTTGTGCTGTAACTTCCAGGCAAGTTTTGAAGGGACAAAATCACACTCAGCTTTGTCCCCCTGTTTCTCCTGGTTTGCAGAGCACCCGACTGCTCTCCTGTGCTGCATCACTTCTCACACGCTCTGGGACATTTAGAAAAAACAAAAGGGGGGAGGGTACATGGGAAACCACGGAAAATGCGTTTAAGCTAGATTTATTTTGTGACTTGGTTTCATTCAAGTATTTATGACACCATCAACGGCCAATAATTTAGGAAGAACGCTGTGAAGTGGAGGAAGGTTACCTGAGGTGAGTCCCACATAGCAGTGGCAGCACCAGCTGGACAGACTGGAGGTAGGAGCATCCCGGGTTCTTTTCAGTAGATCAGAATAATTCCAGAGTGGCACAAAAGCCCTGCAGAAAAGGCTTCCTTCCTGCGAGGAGCAGCCTGCAGCAGGGCAGGAATGGGGAGCAGCTACAGACACTGGGGTTTTGCTGTTTCCTGTTCAGTGCTCCTTTGCTGGAGCTCACTGCCCAACAGATCCTCAGCAGCAGTCACCAACACCTTTGTTGAGAACGAGGCTTTTTGGTTTCTTCCCCCCTCCTCCGCCTCCCTTTTTCTTGTATTAGACTTCAAGGTTTAGATGTTGACACTGCAAGTCAGACAGAAATCCTTCACCCCTTGCTTGTGCTCAGTCACCAGGCACAGAGGAACAAACCTTCCTCCACGGGCATGGGCTCAGTGGAAGGAGACAAGGAGGGATTAGAGTGTTTTAATAAAATCACTTAATTTTCTTACAGGTTGGGATGTGGGATAATTCCCTTCTTTGAAATCTTCAGCACAGTTGAGAAGCCAGCACCAACTCTCCCGTTCCCATTACAGCTAATGGACTGAGGTCAGCCACATCCAAACTTGTAATGAATTTTCTGTGTGCATGCAGCCACTTGTTTTCCCATTAAAAAAAAAAAAAAAACCAAAATAAAAGGATAAAAATACAAGTCAGTAATTGCAGCTGCTGTGATTGCAGTTTGGGAGCACCCTCCTGTGATGGCATCAGTTGTGTCTTCTCAATTTTACAGCTTCCCCAGCATCCTCTTGTGCACCATTATATGTATGTGCTGCACCTTTCCCACTCTCCCCCACCATTAATTCTTGGATTCTTAGTGATCACTGTTTGTATTGCTTATTTTGCAAGTCTGTCTATAGTGTCTAATTATGTGTTTGAAATTACATTATGTAATTTTTAATAAAGCTAATGGCAATGTTTAGAATATCTGATTTTTAAGACTGTATTAAATTTCTATACAAAGGCATCTTTGAGCCCTTATATACTTTGGACATTAGTATTGATTCCAGAGTAAGACTGAGGCTGTTAATGCCCCTAGTCATATAGTTACTATTATTAGTATTCCCAAAGTAGCAAGAAGTCTATAAATGAGATACAAACCCAACATCATGAAAATACTTGTAAATAAATTAATAGACCATCCCAAAGACGTGAGCAGGGGCAATGGCCTGTAACATGATTTGTTACCTTTATGTTGTTTCAAATGCTGCAACTGAGCAGAGCAGTTCTCTGTGATTCATTATCAAAGACACCAAGCTATCAGCACAGTCTTGTTCTGCTATATTAATTCTGTCCAAACAAGAGCATCCCACTTAGATCTTTTCAAATATTAAAGTTTGTTTATTTTTGTAGCTATGGAGAGGGAAAACCAGGCAGGGAGGCTTTTATTTAATCCTTGGAGTATTTTAATTTAGGGAGGTGTTCCCCAGCTTCTCTGATGTTGGCCAACCTATGTCCTGAAGTCATATTTCAAGTGATTGCTCAGATAATTAAACTGTCTCATTCTGTTAAAACCTCCAGAAGCTGATGTTACTCATACTTCCAATTCAGATATCCGGGGTCCAAGGCTCAGTGACTTAACTGTAGATTGGAGCTTCAACCCTTCTGCACGTTCCCAAAAAGGGGAGGAAATGTACTTCATGCCAAACATCCTTATAGCTGGAGGTTTCATCAGTTATCTAGAATCTGATGCAAAGATAATTGAATTATCCCAAGGACCTTGACAGGTTGGGTGAGTTTTTTGGAAAAGGAGCTGCTGTTTGGAAATTAATTACAATACAGAAGCTGCTCCTCCTCAAGTGCGACAGGGCATGCCTACCATATACCCACCCCAAAGCCACGTTACCAGTGGGCCAGGTTTCTGACAGCCTCCTCTTACTGATAGTAGGAATATCACTTTGCAGCCTCAGGAGACTTTGTTTTCCAGCATGGAAGGGTCCACTCGAGCTTGAAACAGGTATGCACAGCTAAATAAACCTGTTAGGAATCATGCCTGCTTCTGCCACTGCTCAGACAGAGGAGCACTGTCAGCTGAATATAAGGGCGTGGCAGTAGAAAAACGATCAATATGTAAGGTCAAAAAGAAGGTCCAGAATACAAATTCCCATGGGAATTTTACCACAAACTGCATCCAAGACAGCCTGGCAGAGCAGGACTCAGTCAGACATTGCATTCTGCTTCAACCCCAACATATAAATTGAAACCTAAAACTTCATCTGTGAAACAGACCCTTCAATCACCCACAGCTACCTGGAAATGAAGAGAAAACTGCATGCAGTGCACTGGAGAATCAGGCTGGTTCCATCAGGGCTCTCTCTATACTCCCAGTTATTGTGAGTGTTTATAGAGGACTCGGTGCAATCTTTTGACAGAAGATGTTAATTTGTGTTCCCAGAGTCATCCCATTCTTTCAGATTTACCCACCTTTTGAATATTTTAGTCCATTACCAGCCTCTTAGGTTATGTGCCAAGTAAATAATTCCATTCATTATGCAAACCCCATATATAATAGTTCATTATCCTCCAACCAGCCTCTGGGCACAGGTACCAAAATGTATTAAAGAGCATAGTTAACAAAAATAATACCAAAAAGAGAAACCGCAGTTGCTACAGGGTGTAGATCAGCTGCAGCATCCTACCCAAGAGCTGGCTTCATCTCAGCCCTGAAAAGATCCCCATATACCTTTTATGCAATTTACAGTTTATGAATCTTAATTACTGAGTGTAAAGAGCTTTGGCACACTTGGATGAACGATGTTGCAGGAATCTACATAATGATTATCAATCACATCACTTTCCATGGCTCAAGCACCACCATCAGGACGGTTACATCACAGAGGGATGACACTGCATCGATCCATCCCGACACAGGGATGTAAGAGGAAGAACTGCAGCTGCCTCCTGCGGTCCCTGCACCACTCGCAGGGTTTGGTTTGGGCCCCTCATGGTGTTTTGCTCATTGGGCCCCACAGGACAAGGTTCTGGGATCAAGTCCAGAAACGTCGTGGCATAAAAGAGGTTGAAGTGGAGTTAGGCTGAGGGCTGTGTTTGGAAAGCTAATTCCTGTCTGATACAGAGTGCCAAAGCCCACAGGGAAGCAGACAGAGTTTGTGCTTCTTCCACACTCACCATTGCTGGAGTTCATTGCTCTCCACTGTCTCTCTGGCATTTATGGCAATTTCAAAGACATAAGGTTGTATGGCTTGCTGCACGGACCACGTGTAGCTGGGTGATTTTGGGAGAGCTGCTTCCTGTAGTTGTGCCTCAGTTTCCTCATCATAAACCAGGATTTAGAATAACAGTCTTTATAAAGCACTTGTATCACATACTGCCCTTCAGTGACCCATGTAAGCAACATCCTTGGTAGCTGAGAAAAGAGAGGATCTGCCTCAGGAGGATAATTAAGAGGATTTTTGTGGCAGCATTCGGGACCCAGACGGAACTGATTTATCGGACACTGCTTTACAGCCCCGGTGCAGTGTCCCCACATCCTGACCTGCACTATGCAGCCTGGCAGGGTTTTCAGGTCACACGGCACCAATAGCCGGCCCCTTGGCGATGGGATGTCAGAGCTGCAGGAAGCCCGGCCGCATTCCTGGCACCACAGGAATGTGCTGACCAGTGCCACCGCGCACCCCACGTGTGTGTGGAGGCTTCTGCCTTGTTGCACAGGGACCCACAGCTTGATGCATCCTCCCTTGGGACTGCAAAGTCCGCACAAAGGCAGGCAGAGGTGAGGGCTGGCAGGATGTGTTTCAGGACACGTCCTCCGCTGCTGCAGCCCCTCTGGCCCAAGGGGACATTTTTGGGCTCACACTGCAGAGCCTCCAGGGCACTTTGCATAGCACCTCGGCCCTGCCACGCTGCTCCCAACTGCTCCCCGCCCGCTGTCGCCTCCCTCAGGGTTGGCTGTCACCCTTCGCCAGCGGAACGTGCCCAAGTGCCCCCAAAACACCTCCTCAAGGCCCTCTTGCCCTCGACCAAGCTGGCTGCCCGCGCTTCAGCCCGCCCCTTGCCCTGATCAAAGATGGACGCTCCCCCGCGGACCCCCGCGAGCTTCCTGCCCTCATCCACCATGGCAGCCCGACGCCGGGGCGCCCATGTTGAGTGAGGCGGGGGCCGCGGCCGCATCCCGTCATGCTTGGCGGGTCGCCGGCTGCCCGGAAGAGGGAGCGGGGCGGTTGTTGACAACATGGCGGCCGCTGGCGCCTCCGCGGGAGGAAGAGGCGGAGGGAGAGGCGGCGGCGGGCGGGGGAAGGAGTCTCATTCATAGGGAACCCGGCTCGCTGCCCTCACCCCCTCCCTCCCCTTCTGCCCCCCTCCCCGGCGGCCGCCTCTCCCCCTCCGCGGCACCATGTCCTTCTTCAGGCGGAAAGGTAGGGGCGCGCCGGCCGGGAGGCCTGCGGCTGAGGGGCGGCTGCCGGCCTCGTCCCCCGCGCGGCTGCTGGGCCCCGGCCCTGCCCCTCCGGCGACGGTGACCGGGCCCCGAGAGGAAGCTCGGCCCCTGAGGAGCGGCCTCCCCCCAAACGACGGTCAGTCCCGGCGGCGGGGCCCTTTTCCTCGGTCGGGGTTTGGGGAAGAGGTCGGGGGGGTCCCCCAGGGACCTCGGGCAACCCCGGCTGCGGGCGGTGGCGAGCGCAGGGCTGCAGCGCTGGTCCGTCCGGGGCTGTGCGCCCTGCTGCTGCGGGGGGATGGAGCTCAGCGGTCCTGGAGCGGTGGATGGTGCGGTTGGGTGGGCTGGTGCGTGCTTCGTGCTGATGTGAGTCTCGGAATGCTTGCAGAGTGCTTTTTTACAATGCTGCCGTGCAGGGTTGTGTACAAATACAATAGCCTGATAAAAACCACGGTTGAAAAAGGGACCTCATCAGGCCCAGGCCTTCATAAAGCCAAAGGAGTTGACCATTTATTTTATAACACCTTTGTTGATGTGATGGAGCACAAGCAAAAGATTTGGAATTTAGGACTCCGGAAATATTTATGCTATTCTTATGGTGCAAATGGATGTAGTTAAAATGTACCTTGGGAGCAAAATGTGTTGAAGGCACTTGTGCTACAGCTGGTGATGAAATGAGGTGTAGGATGCTTTCAGGCTGCACGACTTGTGGTTTGAGTGGTTTTTGTTGACAGGGGCACCTTTTAGGGAGGGCCCCTTGGGAAAGTGGTTCTGTCACCTCGTGATGCTGTAGTTCCAGCAGTACAATTGCTGCTCTTGAAGCAGTGGCTGAGACAACGCTGTCCTAAAGCATTTCTCAGTTGCTAAAGTGCAAAATGTGCGTTTTAAGACTGCAAGAGAGGAGGAAAGAGCACATTATCTGAGTTAATGTTTTTGGTCTTGACTGACATGTGCTGTTGGAAACTTGCTCAACCAAAGTAGCAGCATTGAAAGTTTAATTCTTGGTGGAGGTTAGTACAGTAGTCCTGGAAGAAATTAAACTTCTCTTCATAGTAGAAGCTCTGGAAGTCCACTGAAGGCTTTGCAAGTGCCCTCATCCTTTTTGGGGTCTTTACATACTAACGATGAGCTGCAGAATAAAACTTTCATAGTGCTTATAAACTCTCCAGAAATAGCTTCTGCTGCTTTGTTGGTGAAGGGAATTGTAGAAGTGATGTTCATCCTACTGTGTGATCACAGGAACAGTGTAAGCTTTGGCAAAAATGAAATGTCTCATTGAGTATCTATTTGCGTTCCTTTGATTAAAGGATCTTGGGTCAGAGAAGCACAGGCAGAACTAAGTGCCCAAGAGAGGTGCTATTAAGGAGAGAAGTAAGCTTTCATCTGGCTTTTACATAGAATAATACTGCTTTGTACAATCTACCATTTTAGATACTGCCTCTTAGAGAAGATCTTAAATTGCAGCTGAGAGAAAAGCAGCAGATTAAGGCTTATGATAAAGCTCTGTAGACTAGACATATGCGGTCCAAAACCA